TTTACTATATTGTAGTACAAACCTATAAATTTTTTTGCTTTACAGTAGCAATGCAATGTTGCAACGATCAAAAGCTTATTATAAAAATAGGTATAAAAATAAATATAAAAAAATATTTAATCAAAATATAATTTTGTCTATTGATTTCAGCATGAAATATCACCTGGACACATTTCATGAAATTCACCCATAAATGCAAGCTTTGTATAATTGTGGTGTTGCTTCTTCAGAATCTATACTTGCAGATTTTAATCTAGTTAAGAAGGAAAGTCAATCATTCTACACACAATTATTGGAGATTTTTGTGTCGTCATGGTTACGCGCCACCTGTATAATTGCATGTCTGATCTCATGAGGTACATGAGGTGGGTTTTGGGGTCGGGGCAGGCAGGAGGGTGTAACTAATCTCCCTCATGATCACTACCTGTTCCTGTCACCACCCCCACCTCTCAGTTTTGATCGCTTCCTCATTCATCTTCTCACAAAGCCAAAGGTCTGCTAGATGAGCAGTTTGTCTGCAGGCTCCTGTAATTCCACAGCCGCCTCAAATGGCTGCACTGATTGCCTGCTACAAGAGCAAAGCCGTGTCAGTCATTCAGCCGGGAGTAAAATGAGTGCGGGGGAAGAGAAACTAGTAATCTAGAATCTGAGTAGGCGGCCTGTGAGTCTGAGTGGAAACCTGAGAGTTTAGATCACTGCAAACTTTTGTCAAATGTGTGTTACGTGTTGCTAATGGCTCCTTTTATAGCTGCTTGCCACCAGTGGAAGTATGGCACAAATGTGTAAGATACACAATGTTAAACTGTGATCATTCTGTTGGTTGGTGGTTGCCCATCTGTCTAGTTGTCCTAACAAACGATCCCTGAAGACCTGCACAGATGACCATATACTGTGTTTTGACAATCACAAATGGGATGTCTGGGATAGTTAATTATTTTTTCTCATTTGCTCACCAAGGCAGCATTTATTTGATCAAAAAGCACAGTAAAACAATAATATTCTGAAATATTATTACAATAATAAAAAGTTTTTTTAACCCATAAAAATGAGTTCGGTCGGTATTAATTAATGTATTTAGGTTGATTCAGTGGTATAATATTTTTCATTTGAATAAAACCAATTAATTTAGATGTTACCTTTTTTAGTTATCATTTTCAATATATGTTTAAATGTAATTTATTTCTGTGATCAAAGCTGAATTTTCAGCATCATTACTCCAGTCTTCAGTGTCACATGATCCTTCAGAAATCATTCTAATATGCTGATTTGCTGCTCATCAAACATTTCTGATTATTATCAATGTTGAAAACAGTTGTGCTGCCGAATATTTTTGTGGAAACCGTGATACATTTTATTTTTCAGGATTCACTGATGAATAGAAAGTTCAAAAGAACAGCATTTATTTGAAATATAAATCTTTTGTAGCATTATAAATACAAATCAGCATATTAGAATGAAAACAGAAATACATAATGCATAATAGACATGTAAAAATCATACAGAACAGGGAAATCTCTCAGAGTAACATTCATTTATCCTCCATCGCGCTGACATTCGACTGCAGGATCTCACAGCAGAATGATCACAGGACTTTTCCAAAGTCCCATTCAAGGAATGTTTGTTTACCCGGCAGCCATATTTGCAGCTATTCCTGTGCAACTAATAAGAGCTGTGCAAGTAACCCTCACTCCCCCTTTGTAATCGGTAACATTTCATAAGTAACTGTAATTTAATTACACATTTGTTTTTAGCAACTTTAACTGATTACAATTACATTTATTTTGTAATTAAATTGCGTAATGCTGTTACATGCAACTAGTTACTCTCCAACACTGCTGATGCTATATTGAGGTCTTATGAAGCAAAACGATCGCTCTGTGCAAGAAATTGAACATTATTTACAACATTATTACCTATAATCTACAGCGTCAGGCAAACAGTCCCGAGAGAAGTCTGGTTCATGAACAAACCATCCTTTTGAACAACAAATTAACAGCAAATCTTTGTTTTTGACTAGTACCTTCCCTTTAAGGTACTAGTGTCACTGCTTTTAGTTAGCTACTCCCCAACAATAAGCAATACTATGGAAGCCCGTTTCCGCCACTGAATAAAAAATAAAAGAGGTAATTGTGACTTTTTATCTCACAATTCTGACTTTTTTTCTCAGAATTGCGTGATATAAACTCGCAATTGCGAGACATAAAGTCGCAATTCTGAGAAATAAAGTCAGAACTGCGAGATATAAACTCACAATTCTGACTTTTTTTCTCAGAATTGCGTGATATAAACTCGCAATTGCGAGACATAAAGTCGCAATTCTGAGAAATAAAGTCAGAACTGCGAGATATAAACTCACAATTCTGACTTTTTTTCTCAGAATTGCGTGATATAAACTCGCAATTGCGAGACATAAAGTCGCAATTCTGAGAAATAAAGTCAGAACTGCGAGATATAAACTCACAATTCTGACTTTTTTTCTCAGAATTGCGTGATATAAACTCGCAATTGCGAGACATAAAGTCGCAATTCTGAGAAATAAAGTCAGAACTGCGAGATATAAACTCACAATTCTGACTTTTTTTCTCAGAATTGCGTGATATAAACTCACAATTGCGAGTTATAAAGTCAGAATTGCGAGATATAAACTCGCAATTGCAAGAAAAAAAGGCCGAATTGCGAATGTCAAGCTGTGTGTGTGTGTGTGTGTGAGAGAGAGAGAGTACACACACACACAGCTTATGATTTTTTTTTTTTTTTTGTCTGTTGTAAGTATTTATATTGGCCATAAAACAGAGGCGAATGGATTTAGGGAGTGTGCGCTCATTCAGTGAGTATGCGACTGAAGTCACGGATGAGGGGCACATTGTACACATGCTTAAGCAAAGTGTCAAAAGGACTAATTAACATATTAATGATCCCACCTTAGCACCGCAGCTCCCGTTGGATAGTCAAAACACTTTGATAAGCATGCAAATGAGAAGCCATCAGCTCAAGAAGAAATGATCTGAAGCGTGAAAGAGAAAGATAGAGGAACAGAGAGAGAGAGAGAGAGAGAGAGGCTGATAGTAATGATTGAACCGTTGTTTTATTTATCTTTAATTATCTACTTTAAGCTGCTGGTGGAGGTGACATCAAAGAGAGGGAGCAGGTGCACAGTAATGCAATCTTCACCTCCATCTTTTGCCACCTTTCATTCCCAGGTTTTCTTCTCCGATATGCCAATCAATACAGCAGAGAACCAGCTGTCCATCAAACGTCCAGTGACAATCAAACTAGCTGTCAGATGCTGAAGTCAGGTGTGATTCAGACAAGGGCCATTGAAAATGCTGTATGAAAAGATTTGATTCTTTGCCTTTTCCAATAATTAAGACATTTTTAGACACTAAAACTAAGAAAAGCTAAAAATGTAAATACAAATTTAAATATATTTTTGTAATACACTGGAAACGCTCTGCCATTATTTGTCACATACAGGTGTCCTGAATAGTTTTTAGTTTAATTTTTAGGCCAAAAATATAAAGCTATTAGACAAAAATCCATCAACAGATGTCCATTCAGAGATGGAGATTGTTTGCTGGCCATGTATGCATTTGGCACGAAGATACAAATACTCATCTTGAAATGCTGGACAAGCATGTCATCCTTCCAACTGGTAAATTATGAGCCTGAAAAGCATTTTGGACTATAAATATGCAAATAGGACTGAAATACATAGAAATATGCTTACTAAATACCTAGAAAGTCCCTGTGAAATGCACTTTGTATCACTTAAAAGGTATTTACTTGGAGAAACACACATTTACTGTATGAAATCTTACTGTATGAAAATTAATCGCATTAATTGAGAAATGTTTGGTCAATGTAATATTTCATAAACAAAACTTACATTTGCTAAAATACAATAGTTGAATTTTCACTTAAAATGAAACAAACCATTTAGTTAGTCAATGTTTAATTTAGTTTACTTAAAATAATTAAGGTCAGCTTTGAAAGTCCTTAATGTTTACTGCAATGTAAAATATGCATCATATTTTCTGTTAGGTACTAACAACAACAAAAAAAATTACACCAGAAAAATGAACAAACCCCACTTTTAGACAAGCTGAACTTAACAGGTTTAAACCGGAAACCATGATTTTCGAGTAGCTCAATATAAAAATGCACTTTAAATAAATGACACTTTTTTTCAGTGTATGTGATGCATTTGCAATTGATGCATTTATGCATTTGACAGATACGTTTATCCAAAGCAACACAATCTAATTCAGTTGCATCAGTTCATGCATTCCCTGGGAATCAAACCCATGACCTTAGTCTTGCTATCGCCAATGCTCTACTCTGCTTGATAACTAGAACAAATGAACTGGTTAAAGAATTACAAGTGCTCACAGTCTAAAGAACAAAGTCACTCGAGACATGTTGAAAGCATGTCTGCAAGAATGTCCTGGTCCAAATACTGAGGTTGAAACATATTGTTTTTAGGACGCCAAGTGTGAAGAAGTTCTGATCCCACAACGAAGACCCACTCATGATTTCTTGCAAAAAATATGCTGCCAAATTCCTGCCTTTTCAGCTCTATAAACAAATAATAGTAGGCAATATGCACCCAATATATTTATTAATGTTAATTTATGATAACTAGTGGTGTTGAGTTCTCACATCACTTTGGGGAAATGCTGTAGAGTGTCACATTAGTCTAGAACAACCTTCAAGTTTGGGAAAAAAAAGTGTGTATTGGAAATTGTTGTATCACTTGGCTCTGAAAGAAATTATCCATATGTCATTGCACAGAGAAATAGTTGCAGCTTAGCAAAGTGTCACTATTTTATCATCACCCAAACAGATATGACAGATGGAAGGAAAATAGCAGAACAGGAAAGCGTGATCACAACACTGCTTATTGGCAGCCATTATCCAGGTAAAGACCTCTTTGCCAGCCTGTGGGCTTGTGTGTGTGTGTGTGTGTGAGAGAGAGAGATTCAGTCTGTAAAAACACTGACCTGAACAACTCTTGTATGGCTGGCTCCAGGGGAACTGTGAAGAAGTACAGAGAAAGACAGAGGACGTGAGAGGTCAGTTGAAAGGACAGAGGAAGATTAGATTACCGCTGAAACAAAAGACCGGTCTGACCATATCGCCACAGTACATCTCTGTGTCACGTGTAAGTGCTGGAAGGGGAATACCTTTTGAGCGTGTGCAATGGTGGTTCTCATCTGCTACATCCACCTCCATCTGTGGAAAAAACAAACCATGTTTTAATAAACACTTTTATTTGTAACGCGAGCCTATATTTATGACTGTGAAGTGTGTTTTTATGTTAAAATACTTAAAAGAATAATTCTCCCAGAAATGAAAATTTGATCCAGTCCATCTAAGATGAAGATGAGTTTGTTTCTTCATGGGAACAGATTTGGAGAAATGTAGCATTGCATCACTTGCTCACCAGTGGATCCTCTGCAGTGAATGGGTGCCGTCAGAATTAGAGTCCAAGCAGCTGATAAAAACATCACAATAATCCACAAGTGATCCACACCACTCCAGTCCATCAGTTAACATCTTGTGACTTGAAAAGGTATGTGTTTGTAAGAAACAAATCCATCAAAGTTTAACTTTTTTTTAAAGGGGTCATATGATGCGATTTCAATCTTTCCTTTCTCTTTGGAGTGTTACAAGCTCTTGGTGCATAAAGAAGATCTGTAAAGTTGCAAAGACTAAAGTCTCAAATCCAAAGAGATATTCTTTATAAAAGTTAAGAGTCAGCCATGCCTACCTAAAACGGCTCATTCTAACACGCCCCCACATATCTACATCACTATGTGGAAATATTAGCATAATGCCGCCCAAACGTGCACGCAAAGAAAGAAGGCGTGGTTTCAGAAACAGCAGTAGTGTTGATGCAGCCATGTCAGGGAGACGCTGTGTTTCAGTGCGAAAGCAAAAGCACTTTATTTGGCCTTCCAAAAGTAGATGCATTTAGGAATCTTTAAGATCACTTACAACAGAACAGCAATGCATTTTATGGATGACCGTTTCGTGAACCTAGGAGAGGAGGTAATTCTGACTTTGCTATGACAATCTGGCGCTTCTGAATCAGCTACTGTTTTGTTATTAGTTTAAGTATTTGCTATTGACTGCTCAAAT